ATTGCTTAGCCCTGTTGCTTTTAGAACTGTGGCAAAACAGAATATCATAGTAGGAAATTTGTGGCAGTAGAGGTTCCTCATCTCATGGTGGCTGGGAAACACAGAGAAAGAAATAGGAATGGGCTGGGGTCCCAAGAGCCCCTTTAAAGACATGCTCCCTAATGACCTTCCTTTCACTAGGCCTCACTTTCTAAAAGTTCCATCACCTCCCAGAAGGTTGAGGACCAAGCCTTCAACACGTGGGCCTCTGGGGGAAATTCAAGCTCCAAACTGCAGCAAATGGGAAGAAACTCTTGGGTCCTGAAGGCTGATTGGGGGTTTTCTGGGCAGGGGGTGGGGATAGAATATGCCAAACAGAGTCAACAGAATAGACAGAAGTCTGCAGACCTGATAGGCAAAACCCACTCTGGGGGAAGTGTCAATCATATTGAATGGCTGGCATGGATGCTTGGCCTTATCCTGTAGGATTTTAGACAGAGGATAAACAAGAGTAAAGAAATGGGTGTGGCCAGGCCCCTGTGCTTTAAAGAGATGCATTTCTCACCTAGGATGGCATCAAAGGGAAAGAAAAAATTGAGTTTAAACAAGAATACACAATCAGGTTTTGGATTTTCCAAGAACTAATTAACTAATTATAAGAAGCAAACAAAATAATAGTTATATATATATATATATATATATATATATATATATATATATATTTTTTTTTTTTTTTTTCAGTCCTGAGGATCCAGCTAGATCTTGCACATGTTAGGAACTTGCTCTCCCAGTCAGCTACAACCTGAGCCCCAAAGCACACTTTTTTCAATGTTAAGACACTATAATAAGAAGTCATTGCTGTGATTTTGTTCTGAACATGATTTGAGGGGGCTCAATGTTCCTATACAGCAGGATTACCTCAATTGCTGGGTCAAACGACGGCATGATGGTGGCAGTATCTGTATCATAGTGTATATTTCTTGGCCTTCCCTCCTGCCTTCCACAGCTGGAGCCTTCGGTTTTAAAGTAAGCAATGAGCACTGTTGGAGTTAACTTTTACAACCAGTTGCTTAAAATAGCAGCATACTAAAAGAGAGCTCTAGTGTTGGAATATAAACTCCATCTCTCTATTTTATAGACTAAGCAAACGCTCCAAGAGCAAATCAGAGAGGGGACTAGAATAGGTGTCTTATGTAACTGCAGGCTTTTTCCGCTACCAGCCTCGGAGGGTGAGAATCAATAATTATGTTTATCGACTGACTGTTAGAAAGAAATGTATAATTCAGGGTGCTTGTAACTCAGAGGAAATCCCTTAAAAAAAAAAAGCACAGGAGGCTTCATATTGGTCTCAACCCTCTACTCAACAAGCAGGTCAATCTACTCAGGAGTAGAGAGCTTCAACTTCTTCAAACTGACTCTTTCATGGTTTGGGGCCAGAAATTTTTATCTCCTGGGTAAACAGTGTGTCCCACACCCCAGAGATAAAGACACTCCACTCTGGATCTTATTGCATGAGGTTATGCTAACAACTCTGACATGATGATTATGAGCTTATCATTTCAGCTATAGAACAATTCAACCAAATTCCTTGCTTTGCATATTTGTAAGATTGCTTATATTCTGCCATCAGTTGGTAACAGTTTCCAGCTGTTACCCCTTCTATTCATTCTATTCAAATGTTTGACCATCCTCTGCTGAGGTAAGTCCTGTGTAGTTTCCTGACATTCCATCTTTTAGTGGTAATCTTGGTTCACCATGAAGGCTAAGTATCCCATGTTCCAAATCTGCAGAGCCATCTTTTTACAAAGAGGTTGGTGAAATGCTCGTGGTGCCTACAGCAGGCTGGGGAGGGCCCCTGGGCCTCCTGGTACTTCATCTTCCACTTCCCTGAACCTCAGAAAAATGCATGCATAGAGGTAAGGTGAGATCAGGGCCAGGGAGTACAGAGAACAGGTGAGAAAAACTGTGCTGCACTGTGACAGCTAGATTATTTATGACAAAATTTGACTTGGGTATTATACTTGTTCTAGTCTGGTTTCAGACCAGTTTCTAGTCTAGGTTAGTCTAGGTTCAGCCTCGTATTACTGGATGTCTCTTCTGTTGACATACCAATGTATGATACTCATCTCACTTTTTACTTGATGTGGAGATAAACTTGAAGCCAGGCACGGTGGAGCATGCCTGTAATCCCAGTGGCTCAGGAAGCTGAGACAAGGAGGATCGTGAGTTCAAAGCCAGCCTCAGCAAAAGCGAGGTGCTGAACAACTGAGTGAGACCCTGTCTTTGAATAAAATACAAAACAGGGCTGGGGATGTAGTTCAGTGGTCGATGCCTGTGAGTTCAATCCCTGGTACTCACCTACCTGCCAAAAAAAAAATTAAATAAATAAATAAACTTGAATTTATTCCAAGAAAGAATCCCCTAAATTTTTGTACATCTAAAATAAACTCCAGTAATAAAATCAACTTCTAGGGAAATTAATATTCGTTCTCTTTTTTCATAAAAGGTCTCTGTGATCCCTGGATATGAGTTTCCATTCACTTATTCCTTTCTGGTTTGCCTTTTATTTGAAATCCTTCTTGCTCATTTATTATCCTTTATTTATTTTGAGTTATCCAAATGTTCTTCTCTGCATCTCAAGAAAATAATTGTTTTTGACAAAGTTTTAGCCAATGCTTATTAGGTTTATATTTCCCATCTAAGTCTGACATTGCTGAATTCACATAATGTTTAAAAAAAATCCAGATGTTAATACTGAACAGGACCATCCTAACTGCATATGCAAGATTGAGTTTGCATTCTTGAAATGCAAGTCCTAATGGGATGAACAACCTAAATACAAACACAAAGGGACATTCAGGTGCACTGTAATATGAGTCACTGCTCAGCCACTAACTTTACAAGCAGAGTCAATGAGGCAAAAAGTACCCTGTGTATATAATTATCATGGTTATAAGAGTATTTGGCAAATAGACCACTGGATTTTTGTCCCTTTTTTTATATCATTTGGAAGCATAGCCTTGAAATCCCTCTAATGTTTTCCAAATCTGTGAGTAAAATTTCATTTGTAAATGGGTTTAAAGAAAATAAAATTCTCTACACTAATGAATTCTGATTTTAACTCAGCCACATTTTCTTTTTACGTACTATAAATTATCTCAAAGTTTAAAAGCTTTAAGAATTTATAATCATTATGAGAATGGAATTAATTGTCTGTAAAGCACATAAATCCCCTGCAAGACACTTATTCAAGTTATATTATCTTTTTATCCCACCAATTTCTCTTGGTTTCCCACTTCACTGAATTGGGATTAAATCAGTGTATTCTTCCCACTGCATAATTTAGGACTGTTTTAAAACGATGTAATTACAAACCTCAATGGCAGATTGTGAATTGCATTCACTGTCATAACTTCCATTAGCATGGTTTTCTTTCAGAGCAGTGGGGTAAAGATGTCATGTTAATAAGTTCCACTATTCTGTGTCTGCCATTGGATACCTGCAGCAACTGGAGACTTGGATGGGATCCAAAACTAGACACGGAAGCTGGGAAAATGCCAATGTTTTGTGGATTTAGAGGAATTTTGAAGAAAAAAAAATTTAAACAATAAAATTGTAGATTAAAGAGTTAGTGTAAGATTTTAAATCAGACAATTGCAGACTTCATTTTATACAAAGGTACTGTACTAATCTATTGGCCTTCCTGAAGAGGGAGAGAACATTTTGGATAGTTACCTACTCTAATTTTCAATGGAACAAAATTAAAATACCTTATCAAGGTTTTCCAGATCCTTATTTGACATCTGCTGCCTTCTCTCCCTGCCCACAATCCCCTCCTTCACCAACTGCTTGTCTACTGCAAGTTCTAATTCATCAGAATCTCAGGGCAATAGACCAATTTAAAATTAATGTAAAGTCTTCCTCATCCAGAAATTCCACCTAGAGGTGAATTTGGCCACATACATTTGGGTTCTGAATGTACAATAATAAAAAAAAGTCGTTATGCTTAAGAAACACACAGACACAAAACCACCACAAAACAAAACACTCCCACATGCTTTTTCTTTTAATATAAGGTATTTATAATCTCCAGGTAAACAATTTCCTCCAGAGTTAAGTTCTTTGGTATGTGTAAACTCTCATATCAAATGGTTAACTTTATTATTCTGCTGGTACTGAATATTGAGTCATTGATTTAAATTTCTTTTAGCAATCCTCATCAAATTTCTTTGTTAAATTCCCTAGAACAATCAACATGTTTAGCTATTTCATAAATTATTAATTGGACAGAAACAAAATCCAGCTTCCCTATATATACAAAGTGAGCAGCTGGTCATTGTCTAAAACGACAAAAACTTGATCAATGTAATTTCTTTGGTATGCATTTCTGGGTGTTTAAAAATGAACCAAATTGTAGTGGGAAAAGATCTTGGTGCTTCTTAACAACTAAAATAACTGTCCTGTAATTTGCTGAAAGAAAGTCCTATTCATTTACCCTTCTTCTTGAAGTTCATAATAAAAGCAAACCTGCAGATTTTAATAAGAATATTTAGGTTGATAGATCTAAAGACTTTGAAATTAGATAAAGACAGACTTTAAAGAAATAAGCTTTAGAAGGGAAAGGATTGGGGCGGGGGCGGGAAGCAGCTTTGCACAAATGAATGAATTTAGTCCATTTGTTTAAACACTTTCAGAAAATTGTTGGTAAGGTAACAGTGAATACTGAAAAGGATATATTTGGATTTACTCTATGAAAATGCACTGAAGTAAAAGGAGAATTGAGGAATAATGAACTGATACCTCCCTTCCTTGAATGTGGTTAGTAAATTGGAATATCTGGCTAACTGGTTCCAGTTCAGATGTTGCTAGTTTCTGGAAAAGTTCTCTTCCCTGCAGCTTTCCTTCAGTAGCTGCTATGTTGTGTGGCAAATGATTAACTCTGTCACCCCGGACTTTGCATGCCTGCTTTTAAGTATGATGAATTTCTGTCTTGGAATGGAAAAAAAAATACAGAAGTCACCTTAAGTCTTACAGTGCAACAATTTTAATAATCCACACTAAAATATGCTGTTCGGTTTTGTAGTTCTATTTTTGAAGCAATACTGCCTCACTTTGAAATGTTTCTACTTACTGCTTCTTCCCTCCCCACCCCTTCACTTAAGGTGTAAGTCTATGGAAGTATCCCTGAAGTGCATTTCTCAGGCATTAAAAACAGCACTGAGATCTGATGTTCCCGAGAAAGTCTTCAGAATCTTCAATAAGTGCAGCCTTCCTCATTTGAGGGCTGCAGAGTTCAAGTTCAGCTACTTTCTCTGAAAGAAGGCCCGCTCCGTCACTCTCACTCCCATAGATGACAAGAACAAGGGCAAATGCCCCAAAACAGCTCCTTGGGGAAAAAATAATAATTATGCCAACTTCTTCAGAGGCATGTATCTTCTCTTACCACAAATAAATACTTAATGCATCTTTGAGTCATGAAATATTGAGAACTCAATTGACACTTCAATTTCCAGAAAAATAAAATCTTGGAGGCCTCGGGTGAATATTATGAATATGGTGGGGTGAGACACCAAATAGGGGGCTGGGTCAGAATTCTCAGGTATGGAACTGGGTTCTGGGATTATTGTGGGAAAAGAGACAAGCCTTAGAGTGCTCACTCCAGCTATTGCTTGTCCTCCTGGGCATCATCAGGGAAGTCCGCCTCCTCTGGGGACCTGTCTCCCTCTGGAAGCAGCGTGGCACGCACTTTCCTCTTCTCCTTAAAGCGGCCAGATCTCGAGATCTTCAAATTGCGGCGGCTGTTGCCAGATTTCTCCCCACACAATTTGTCTGGCTTGGGGGACTCGCTGGCGCCCGCAAGGACATTGGGGTGCTGGTTCTCTTGGGAGCTGCTAGTCCATTCTGGGCTGGGCGGGTTGGGCTCCTCCGGGTCTGGCTGGGCCAGAGGCTGCGCCCCCACCGTGGCTTCCTTGCTTTTCTTCTTGCTGTTGGTTAGCGATTTCCACCAGGGCCCAGAGCTGCCGGTGCCACCGCTGTCGGCCATGGTCCGCCAGCCGGGGACTGGGGCGCCCCTCGTGGGGAAGGGCTTCAACTGCAGCGGCCCTCACTCCCGAAGGTCTCTCCCCACCTCTTTCCCAGGCTTCTATGCGGGCTGCGGGATGGGAGCCAAGGCAATCCCTACACAAAAATGGGTAAGAAAACACAACTTGGTTAATGGGTTGGTCTAAGTCATGAATGCCCCCAATTTCCTTTCTTCTCCTGCACTCCACCTGGCACCCGGCGAGATCTGAGCTCCCCAAGTTCGGAGCCACGTGGCCCCCATGAGGCACCGCCGCCGCACCCCCTACAGTGCCGGCGGACTACTGACCTCCAGGGCGCCACTACCAGATCTCTGGGCAGATCCTTGAGCTCTGGCCTCAACCTTTGTCTCCTGGGAGAGCTCAGTGGTTACCATGTGAAGGGCACCCGGGCACATCCAGCTATCTGGATCAAGCCGGCTCCAGAGGGAAAATGTCCTGTCCTGTCCACACTGTCTGACTGTAGATGGACGCCCATAAACGATCCACCTTGGCTAGAATGACCTCTCTTCCTAGGAGCACCTGGGAGGAGGACGCTCGGAACCAAGAGTAGGAGGCTAGAGTTGAATAATGAGCTTTAGACCACGATCAAATAGACCCAAATTTCCCCCAAAGGATTTCCCCTAGACACTCGCAATCCAGGATCTTTTTCGATGTGATATTACGGGGAATTTATACCCAGTAAGGAAAAGGGACAAGCTCATACTGTTTTTTTGTTCTGCTTCTTTTAAACTCAGCTTTTAACCGCTTCTGCCTTGTGACTTTCAGAGAAGCACGTCTAGACTAACTTCCCGTGAAAACTCTTCCTTTTATTCCCCAGTGACCAATGTAGCGTTTTCACAAAGGTCGCTCCTGCCTACAGCTGTGATGAGGTCAAGAGGCAAACGTCCTTTCCCCCTTTTCCTTTAGTGCTGTATCAATTATGCACCAAGTTGTCTGTCTGTACTATCAACTCATCTTGGAGAATTTTAGTTAGGAATTAAAGGTTTCTGTTCTTTTTCTTGCGCAATTCCATCCTCCAAAGGAGAGAGCGCTCAACTACGAACTCCAAAACGATTTTCTTTTTCTCCAGGCTTTTAATAGCCCCTCTGCGGAGCAAAAAGGCTGCTTATTAACACTTAGGTGTTAATATTGGAAGCTCAAATTCTCTACCCACTTTCTGTTACACTGTCTATCCAGCACTACTACCATGAATGCGTGGGATTCGCTTGAGCTGCGGCTCATTTCCAGGTTTCTGCTCCGCTAGGTCTCAGCCCACGCTCCCAGCACTCGCACTCTAGGGATTTGCCAGTGAGCAGGAGAGAAACTTCAGCAGTGTTTGTTTTTAGTAGTTCTCCTCCCGGAACTACAGGGAGAGGAAGTCCCAAAGCCTGTGGAAGGCGATCCAGCGGCCTTGGATGCTCCCCCAAACCATGGCACCAGCTTCTCCCCAGGATGCCCCCAGGGCACACTTGGGCTGGGACTTTGAAAACAATAAGAAAAAACGGCCAAAAGTTCCTTCGGTACAAAAGGCACCCACGCCCTCAAGCACAATTGGCAGTAGGGTCTGCAAACATCCCACTCTCTACAACTTTGCAGATCAGAAAAGTACCCCCTCCTTCAGGTTATTTACTAATGGTGGTGGTGGGCGGTCCCGGTGCAGCTTGCTGTCCTCCACACTTTATTCTACAGAATTTCCAGAACTATAAACTTTGTGTGCACGAAAGGCATTGTGTAAATTGTGCAAGGAAAAAAACTGCAAATTACTCAAAGGTCTGAAGAGTGCAGTTCTTGAACTCTCTCAGCTCACAACTTCCCTTTCGGTTCCAAGAGGTGAGGGACTAGGCGGCGCGGGGCAGCACCCCAGGGTGATACCGCGCCTCCCGGTTCTATCTGGGCGGACGCAGAACCACCCCGGTAGCTCACCTGCTTGGTTCCAGGACACCGCGGGCCCGCTCAGCACTCACGACAGAGAGCACTAAGGGGACACGCTCGGGGGGTACCTGAAGTTGGGGCGTGGTGTCCCTTCGCGTGGTCTTGTAGGGATTCCGTTGCTGGAAACCGAACCAAACAATCCCTGCAGCGAAGCTTAACTAAGTGCTGCTGCTGGTCTCTGGCACCTCCAACTTCTGAGCAGTGCGGAGGCAGCTCCGGGCTCAGTCGGTCCGAGGAACTGTGGGATTCTTTGCCCCAGGTGAAGAACCCAGCAGCCTCGCCTGATTCAGTAGCTTTACATTCTAAGGCAAGTCCCTCTTCCCGGATAGAACCGCTCGGGAAGCGCCCAGAGGTGGGACCCCAGCTGCTCGCTCTGGCGCATTAAGCCTTCCTACGCTTTGGTAGGAAAGCGAAAAGACATCTGCCCACCTGCTGGTTATTCGCCAAGTGATTGGAGAAACCAGAACCCAGCGGCAGCGGGAGGGGGGAAAAACAGGAGGCGGTCACCGCTGCCACAGGTGCAGGTAGGCACTTCGCGTTCCCTCCCTTCAGGGGACGAGATTGGATCTGGTCGCAGACGTGGCGCCACCCTTGTGGAGTCTGATTGGAGAAAAGCTGTGCTGCGTCGCTTGCTGGACCCACTCCTACTTGGTAATAAATGGTGGAGGCTTGAGAACAGGAGACCGAGACTGGAGGTGGGCTCTTCTGAATAAATGCTGCGACAGCTCTCCCTTTGCCCCTACCCAGATTTCTACCCCGCCTATGTCCACCGCTCCCTGGGTCCGGGAATCCCAAGTTTTGTGACTCACAGGGGGCTGATTCACACTTGGGCAAAATGTTGGGGAATTTCAGGCGCCCTTAGTTAAAAGGCTATAACATTATTAACCAGCTTGCTGTTGAGAATCGGGTGCTGTTCCAAGCACTCATTTATGTCTCACACGTACCTAGGAGGTAGGTTCTATTATTATCCTCATTTGCGCAAGGAAACCCCAGCATGCGAAGGTTAAAAGGTTGCTCAGAGTTGCCCGCTGATGCGTGGTGGAGCCGGCTAGGAACCCACGAAGTGCTTTGGCTCCTGGTCACGTATGAACGCTTTTTGTTAGTTTAACAGAAGGTATTGACATAGGACATTTTTGCCAATAAAAGCAGAGATTCAGCTTGCTTCTTGCAGGATGCTCTCCCTTTTCCAAGACCTGTTTTGATGTTCCTGTGCTCATATACATGCAAGCATAACTCCTCTGAAGGACTGGGTATGGAGCAACTGAAGGATGACTATCTTTGTTCTGAGCACTTTCTGCAATACAAAAGTAGTGAAAGACGTAATGCCTAACTCAAGTAATTTGCAGTCTAGGTATAGACGTTTTTATAGAAATAACCCTTCCAGGGCTGGGGTTGTAGCTCAGTGGTAGAGTCTTTGCCTAGCACATGTAAGGGACCTGGTTCGATCCTCAGCACCACATATAAATAAAGGTATTGTGTCCATCTACAACTAAAAATATTTTTTTTAAAGAGAGAAAAGAAATAGCCCTTGCTTATAGTGAAGACATTTAAATGGAGACATGAAGCTAGGAGAAATGAACTGTGGTAGGGAAGAGTGAGCATTTGCAGAAGGCTCGAGGCATGAGGATTCTTGAGGGGCAGAGAGCAGGCAAGTGTGATCTGAGTGCTAAGAAAGCTGGGAGATGAGGCTTGAAAGCTGAGTGTGATCAGACCATTCAGATCAATACCCACTAAAGAGGGGGCCACATTATGAGATTTGCATGAACGCATCATGGTAGTTGGGTGTAAAGAGCAAATGGAGCAGGCAGAGATGGGGCTACAGGGAGCCCAGTTAGGAACTGTTGGTAGTTCATGTGTGATGGCTGCGAGACAGTGGTGGCAGTAGGGGGTGAACAGAGTTAGATGGCTGCAAAGAGCTATTGGAGGTACAATAAATAGAACACGATTTCATTTGATTTATACAAAAGAGGAGATTGAGTTTAACTAGAGGCTGAAAAAGAGAGATTTTCATAATTTTCCTTGTATAGTAATGGCCCATGGGGCGGTAAGGAAGACTTAAGGAAATGCTTCCTAAATAGGGGCAGAGAGAAAAACATCTTTTGCTACATGCTTGATTCTTGCATTTAATCACAGTGTTAGTATGTAATCTCTGGGTGTTGCAGCAGCCTTATTGCAATAGTGAAGCGTATTGCAACAGGGAGGCCACAGGCATATGAATAAAAGACAATATGCTACCCATGAGGGCATGGGAATGTGGAAAGTATCTTGGTCCTAGATAATGACAGAAAGCCCCTGAAAGAACCCTGGAACCACTTACCTCCAGATTACTATTTCAGTGAGATAATACCTATCTCTATGATTTAACCACAGATGGAACAAAATTTTCAATTAGTTGCAGCCAAACATATTCCTACTTGATACAGACTATTATAGTTACAGGAAAACATGCTAATGTTCAAAAAAAAAAAAAAGAGGAAAAGTAATGTCACTTTATTGGGGACCAATCTGAAAATGTCTTCACAAGAGATGGAGGATTTAGTGAAATGTTTACTAGAGGACAAGATTTTAGAGGCAGGGAAAGCATCTGTGAAATAGGGCACTTTCATCAAAAAGGTGTGGATATTAGGGAAGGAGGAGGTAAAAGAAAGCAAGCAGAGCGGGTATAAATGAGCTGGGAGCAAAGTCCAAAGGATGAGCATCATCAGACTGTAGAGGCATTGTAGCAATTGGGTTTTTTGTTTGTTTGTCTTGTGTGTATGTTTTTAGTACCAGGGATTGAACCCAGTGTTGCTTAACCACTGAGCCATAGCCCCAGCTCTTTTTATATTTTATTTAGAGACAAGTTCTTGCTGAGTTTCTCAGGGTCTTGCTAAATTGCTGAGGCTGGCTCTGAATTCATGATCCTCCTGCCTCAGCCTCCTGAGCTACTGAGATTACGTGTGTGCCACCATACCTGGCTTGGACCTTTTTTAATTTATAAAATTTTTCATAACCTCCCTATACCAAAATATAAACATACACACAGGCACGCACAAACACACACACAGGCACAGAGTTAAAGATACAGTTATCATTTTCTGGCTACAGATCCAGGAGTCACGCTGCCGATTCTAGAAGGAGCGCTTGGTCTGTTCCTACCGTTCTGTGTTGCTCAGACATCAAAAAGGGAAGATGTAAAGTTGACTGATCTATCCAATTAATAGTAGGCAACTCCTAATGTTACAGTATTTAAATATGCTCATACTGGACATGGCTTACATTTGTTAATATTTTTGTCTTGTCCTCTTTGCTTTTCAAAAATGTGTTGCTGATTTGAATATGGAAGACTTTTTTTCTGTTTTAAAATTAAATCGCAGCTTTCTCAGGTAAGTGAATAAATGAATACCCTCAAAGATAACAGCAAATTCTTAGAAGGTAAACATTGGTTACTAGGCATTAAAATCAGAAATTTCTAGACATCAGCCCTGGTTTTTGCTCTCCTAGCAAACCTGGCATTGCCTGAGAGGCTGGGAAATTACTTATATGACTTTGAAGCCTGTGTAGTGGGAATGGGCAAAGTTTTATAAACTTTTAGACAGTGGGCACTGCAGCCAAGCATGAAATTGGGATCCACTTGTTATAGCATCTCATCTAGTCCTCTGCTGGGTTCACAAACTATAGTCACAAAGTGCTGCTGATCATTTCAGTTGTGCACATTGAGCACGTGCCCTAAGCACTTGCAGAGGGCTGTGCAGTCTCTCTGCACAATCCAGTCCACACCAGCTGATTTTTCCTGCTGGCATACCCTTTGTCCCTTTGGTTCTGTGGCCCCTTTGACTAAGTCACAGGTTTGGAAGTTATCAGCCTCTTGGTTCACACTTCACCAAATAGCCATCCAGTTTCTTTGTGAAGAGTGCTGGTGACAAGGACCTCGCTACCTCCCCAGGCAGCCATTCTGTAGGAGAGCAGTGGTGTGTCTCTGCTGGAGCCTCTTCATGCAGCACACTCTGTGGCCCTGCTTCCCTCTCCTTGGATCCCGTCCTCCCGGTCAGCCCAGGTCTCAGACATGTCGTCTGTAATCGCTGCAGATCAAACATTTCTCACTCTGACCCACTGCCGTCTGGCATCTGCCCACCACTTCCACTAAGGTGGCTTCTGTAAGTTCCCGGATTTTGAGGCCATTTATCAGTCTTCATCCTTTCCACCCCTCTGCACCATCAGGGCTGTGGACAACTCCTTAAAGCATTCCCTATTCTGAATTTCCTTCTTTTCCACCCTGGCTGCTCCTTCCGATTTCCTTGCCAGCTCCTCCTCTTCTTTCCCATTGATGTTACCAATATAAGCTGATGTTTTCGAGCTGTTATCTTGAGGTGGATATCACGATGGGTGCTTTCTGTGCATTGTTTTGTTCACAATGTGACTACTAGCTGCTCTAAGTGCCGTGACACTCAGTGCAAAACAACCCAGGGTGGGGCAGAGCCAGGAAAAAGCTGTGGCAACCTGAACCAGACCTTGAGCTTACAAAGACTTCGTGACGTTAGATTTCTTGAGGCTCAAGTCCTGAGTCTTTTTCTGATCATCTTTGCTGTGCTCCAGGGACCACTTACATGAGGGTGACTCTCAGAATTTGTATTTTTAGCTCAGGCTTCACCTCTGAATTCCAGACCTGAGTGTTTACACAGTTCCTTGATATTTCTGCACATGGAACTAAACAAGTGTAAAATACAACCTGCCAACCTCATCTCCTATACCCGTTGCTGCCTTTATTGCAGAATCCTCTGAGCGAGGGGCTCTGCAACTATGCAGGGGTGCAAACCAGAAACCAAGGTGTCTGTCTCGGTCCCTTTAGGCTGTTATAACAGAATATCACTGACTCAGTGGTTTATAAACAACATGAATTTATTTCTTACAGTTCCAGAAGCTGGGAGGTCCAAGAGCAGGTGCCACTAGGTTCATAGATGGTGTCTTCCTGGTTCATAGATGGTGTCTTCTTGCCAAGTCTCTGTGGATGCCACCTGTGAAGCTACTGCAGTGGTGAAGCTACTTGAGTGGTCTTTTACTTGAGCCATGGGGGACTTAGGTCTCCCCTTGGGAATGATCTTGGCATTCCTTTGTGTAGACTTCCCAAGGCGTGAGATCTCTGCCCTCACTCAACTAATGGGACAGTTCTCGTAACTCTGGAGTTGGGCGTAACTCATTAGGAACTAGACACCCCACCCGCTACCTTATTTGGCAAAGAACATTCCATGGAAAACCTTTGACATTCTCCCATATAAATAAAGCAAACATGGGCTCTCATGCTCTCTTTCCAGTGTCGAAGAGCCATTCCATCCCTGCATGATCATCTCCCAAAGGCCCTACCCCCAGATACCACTGTGTTGTGGATTAGGTTTCAACATATGGATTTGGGTGAACATAGCAGTGTCCTTCTCAGTTTCTTCCTCTGCTCACTCTCGTATTCAGTATGTCTCAAAGGCCATCAGTGGTATGTCCTAAATGTCTCTTGTTCCCACCCACAATCAGCCATGTTCACTGTTCTCCACAATCTAAACTGTCATCATCTCCCAATCAGAACTGCAAAAGCAACCTAAGTGGACACCCTCTATCCACTCCTGCCCTGCTTTAGCCTATACCCAGAGTGTTCACTGGACAACTTCTTCCCTGCTTGCAACTTAGAATAGTGTCCTCTT